GATTCCTCCAACTACCGCTGCATCCTCTGTTCCTTTTACAGCAAGACTTGCGGGGAGAAAGCCAGGGCTCACCCCTCTCCTCCTCCTCTCCTCTCATTCTCTTCTCACCCTTTCTAATCTGACTTCCGTCCTCACTCAGAGAACCCTGCTTGCTCATGCCATGGCCTGTGACTCCTTGGTGAAAACCCAGTGGCTGTTCTGTGCTCATCTTACTTGATTTCCCAGCAACACTTGACAAAGAAAACCACCTCATACTTTTAAAATTTCTTGCCGCTTCTCCTCACTTGTATCCTTCCTCGCAGACTATTTGTTCTCAGTCCTTCTTATTGGCTCTTTGTCTGCTATTTCACAACTAAATGCGTGAATGTACCAAAGGGACATTTGCCAAATTTTAAATTACATGCCATGCTGAGTAATGTGATAAAATTTTGGGCCTTTCTGCTCTGTCCTGTGCAGATAGGAATCATCCTTTTGTCCACTGTATTCACATTCATGTGCTACCTGCTGGTTAGTCACTGAGTAGCCGACTTGGTTTTCAGATTGACAAAGGCAGTATCCAGTGCTTATACTCAAATGTCTCTTATTTTACTTAATATAGTCACTGGTTCATTTTATTAGTATTTATTGATAACTCATCAATGTGTTTAATTAATAAATTAAATTTCATCATTGCTATGAATATGAAGAAAAAATATAGTATATACTAGGTTTGATAATTTCTGCAGTTTCAGGAATCCACAACAGGTCTTGAAACGTGTCTCCATGAATAAGAGAGGACTATTGGGTTTATTTTTTCTCACTAAAATATGATTTCCAAGAGGGCAAAGTTTTTTCTGTTTTTTAAAAACATGAAATAGGGGCTGGGGATTTAGCTCAGCGGCATAAGTACCTGCCTTGTAAGTGTGTGGTTGTGAGTTCGATCCCCGGTACTGATAAAAAAAAATTTAAAAACATGAAATGGAAGCATTTCTCTAGCATGTGTGAGGCCCTCGGTTCAAGTCTCAGCACTGACCAACAAAAAGTGGGAGTAGATTGAGATAATCTTTCCAAAATTTTGCAAGTAGAGAGGTCTTTTCTCTGAGGCATTCGAGAGTGAGTTGTCGATTTAGTGTCCAATAGTCTTGAACACTTCAGTATGTAATTTTTGCAAACACATTCTCCTACATAACTTCAAACAATCATCCAAATCAGAAAATTTATACTGATACATTACTATAATCCAACCATCAGATGCCATTGCTTCAGTTGTCCTAACACATCCTTCAAGGCAAAAAGTTTTAACTCAGAATCAGGTGGTATATTTGGTTGTCTGTTTTTAAAATCTCTTTCAATCTGGATAACTTTTTCAGCTGGCATTTTTTTCTTGACTCTTTAATGTTGGCACTTCTGAAGTGGCCAGACCAGGGCCATCATTAAATGTCTCTAAAGTTTCTCTGTTTCTTTGCTTTTGTTTTCATTTTTTTCATTGCTGGGAATGAAAGCCCTGTCCTCACACAAACTAGGAAGAGTTTTACCACTGAGCTATATTTCCAGGCCTGAAAGTCTCTTAGCCAAGAATGTTGCAGAAATGATGTTTTCCTAAGTCTTCTTTGACACTACGTAGTTCTGACTTGCCCTGTCACTGTTGACATTCACTGGGAACACCTGATTAAGATGACAGTATCCCTGTCTCTAGTTCCTACTGTACTGGTGGACACAACTAGAGGATATGCACATTTAAAGTATATTTATCTCTATAGCTATCAATTTATATTGAAATTCATAAATTCACACCAATATCTCCAATTCTCATCTCAAATCACAGGATTCATTACAGTTTAATCACATTACTATGTTTTAACTCCCTTCACAGACAGCAACAAACCTGGCATCCATTATACTAAATATCCTTAAACTACACCTTTACTATATTAATTATTCGATGACTTTCCAGGTATTATAACCAATCTCCCAAATACTCTTATATCACACAAAGGTGCTCTCCACACAGGCTCTGAGAGCTCTCAGTGGCTGCTCTCTTGGATGTCATCTTTACCATGTTACATCTCTGGCACACTGCTGACCTACTGTCCTGACAGGAAAGAGGACAGAACTGTTTTCCACTCTTTCGCATTTCCATATCCCAAACACATGATATATACTCAAGTAAATATCTGTTAATAGAAGTAATATATTGCTTATTTAGTGTGTTCCTCCATATACACATATATTCTGACATTTTCTTCTAACTCTGCAACCCCACAGATATAATATAGCAGCTTGGATTGGGAGCTTCCAAATCTTGCCTAGTCCATTTTAAATGTAGTGCAGAGCCCAGCCATAGGGAAGCAGCAGAGGGTTTCTACACAAGGGCAGTTTTAGGTTTGGCTCCTTGAATCACACTAACGTAATTAAAAACACAAATGTGAGCTACTCCTCAGACTAAGGACGAATGTCTAAATTATATAAAGAACAACAATAACAAAAAGAACCCCAAATAAAATGCTGAATCAAAAAACAGGCAACTGCAATAAATAGGCACTTCTCAATAGATATACAAATGTTCAACAGACATTTAAAAAAGTGTTCAGCATCATTGGCCCTTAGAGAAATGAAAATCAAAATAACACTGAAGTTCCATGTTACACCAAAAGAATGGCTATCTTAAAGAACTCAAAAAACAACGAATGTTGGCAAGGTTGCAAGAAAAAACAACCCTTCTACATTATTGATAGGAATGTAAACTAGTGCAACAACTATGGAAATCAATATGGAGATTCCTCAGAAAACTAAAAGTAGAGGTTCCATTAAACCCATGTATACCTCCTATAGGAATCTTCCTCATACAGTTTAAGAATTTTATTATGTGATCCTTGTATACCCATGTTTATAGCAATACAACTCATAATAGCCAAAATTGGAAACAGACTGTAAGTCTACAACAGGTGAGTAGGTAAAAGAATTTGTTACATATACACAATGGAGTAACTCAACCATAAAGAAGAGTAAACTTAAACAATTTCCAGGAAAATTGAACTCATAGTGCTAAGTAAAATAAATCAGAGAGAGAAGGTTAAATATCACATGATATCTCTTATATAAGAAACCCAAGGTACAATTAATTTAAACAGATGATAGGAAACAGGAAAATAGACCTTATTGAGATGAGAAGGGGATTTGGGGAGGGGCAGATGGGAGGAGAATAAAAAGGATAAAGATGTGATATGTGTATACATTAATACTCCATGATGGAGGTATTATGTATGACAAATATATACGAAATAAAAAAGGAGTTTCATCAACAAAAAGTAAATCAAAGTATGAGAAAAATACTTGAAAAGTGACAGCTGAGAAAGACACAGTATAGATCAAAGAAGTGTCTGGATAGCCCAACACTAGAGGCTGACTGCAGAAACAGCCAAGGAATAGTGCAAATTGACTGCAGGGGGAAAACAATGCTTACTGGAGATTTGTCTCAGCGTTTTTGATAAATATTTTTAAGTATCCCAATTATGTAACATAATTAACCAAATTTCTGCTTTTAGTCTATGAACAGAAAAAAACATATTTGATCGTGTTCAAAAGAAACTCAAACCTGGTGTGGTGGTACACACCTGTAATCCCAGCACTCTGGAGGCTGGGCAAGAGGATAGCCATGAGTTTGAGGCCAGCCTGAGATACATAGTGAGTTCAAGGTCAGGCTGAACTACATAGTAAGATCCTGTCTCAAAAAAAAACCAAAAATATGTGTGTTTGTGTGTGTACTGAAAAAACTCAATTCCTAATTTGTTGTGTGGTACTACATATCACAATTGAGCTCTTCATGTGACACTAGGTATTGCTAAACCCTATTTAATGGAATCACTGACAATTCATTTTCTCAAAAGTTGCTGAATGGAACTATTAAAAATTATAATCGGTAGTAACTATCAACTTTTAGCTGAATAATTTTAATTACTTTCCTGCTTTTAAATATTAGGTTTATAGTGTTCCTTTATTTTTCAATTTTAGGATATTGATTTCCTGCACAAAGCTTAAACTATTTCCTCCTTAGTCCCATCATCCATGACACCTTTCTCCAAAGTCCATCCTTCCAAATGTAACCATATAATTTTATGTTACAGCAACACGTTGTTTATGTAACACTGAATACAATTACTTCCTTTTCTTGAGCAAGATTTTGTTTTCTCTAAATCAAACAACGGCATGATCTTTAAGTCTGCTTAGTTTTCTGAGTATGTGTAATTACTTCAACTCCCCAACTTTATGTCTAATATTTAGATCTTCTCATGAGGCTTCAGACACAACTGGAATTTTGTCAATTCTATCCTTCCGAAGCAGTATCTCCCAGGGACTTTCAGCCGAACCCAGACAGGTTGCTTGCTATGCTCTCTATGCATAAAATTGTTAACCTGGCTCTTTATTTCAGTCATCACTTTATTTTCTGCTTCATATTTATTGCGTTCCCGACGATTTCCTTTTTCTTAGTTTGTTCCCTCATTTTAAAGGATAACATCTCCAGAACATTCTTTGAGAAAGGAGGCATGACATTTTTTGAGATTTAGCATGCCTGAAACTTAAATTCCATGTACATATTTGGTTGACCTTGGCTCGGTATTAAAGACTAAATCATAAATAATTTTCCTTCAGAATGTCGAGTAGTACTTTGCTCCCTAAATTCCAATGTTGCTTCTGTGCAACCTGAAGCTCTTCTGATTTCAGTGTAGATTTCTTTATCCTCATGTTCTCAAGAGTTCACAAAGATAGCCTTGACGTGGCTCTGCTTTCAACTTTCAGCTGGCTGACTGACAGAATCTTTCACTGAGGAAACTCAGCGTCTTAAATTTTGAGGAATTTTACAATCCTTTATTGGGTATTTCCTGTCTCCAAACTGGCTCTGGAGCTCTGAGAGGGGACCTTCCCGGTGGTTATAGCAGCAGCGAGGCGCGTGCGCGGCGTGCAAGGAGAGAGAGCGAGGGGGAGGGGGTCACGGGGGCGCGCGGGCGCGAGCTCACTGCGCCTGCGCACGGCTCTGCCGTTGCTCCGCCTTCCGCTCCGCAGCTCCGCGCGGTTGAATGGCCTACCGTCTTTCCGCCTGCCGGGGGTTGGCAGTTGCTCTGCACCGAGAACCCCGGTGACTTGCCCTCTTTTGGCCAGAAACCCATCTCTGGGCCCGAGCGGGAGGAGCGGAGCCTCTGAGGGGAGCGGCGACCCCGCCGACCCCGGTCTCTTTTCCTGGCGGCGGCGGCTTCTTCCGTGGGACAATATGTTCAAGAGAATGGCCGAATTTGGGCCTGACTCCGGCGGGAGAGTGAAGGTCAGTGCCCGGCTGCGCCTCCCTTCACGGGGCTCTCCCACCCCGACTCCTGCCTGCGCGGCGTTGGGAGGACCGCTCGGTTCCCTTTCGCGCCTTCTCTGCTCGTGCTCGAACCGAGGCATCAGGTGGTGAACAAGTGTAAACCACCGAGCGAAAACTGAGAGTTCATTGGGGCCCGACTTCCCGCGTCATCGCCACCTCCCTCCTGCAAGGTAGATTACGCGAGCGAGCTGGCTTGGGGAGACACCGTGTGGCAGCCCGGGCATCGGGCCGCCCCCGGGGCTGGCAGGTCCCACCTTGCTGCACTGTGGCTCCCAGCCTAGGTCTTCGGTAAACTGGAGATGGCACCAGTTATTGTGAAACTGTAACAAATGATTCGTGAGCTCGTATCCCGAAAATTTACAAATGCCGGGCAGGAAGGATCTCCAAATACGTATCTGTGAAGTATCAGAGCGGAGAATTACTGAGTTCTGGCATTCACAAAGCCCCAAAGTTGTGACTAAGACAAAAAGACATGCAGAGAACATAATACAGTGCCTGGTGCATAGGTAACATTTATTAAATGTCAGTTTCTTTTGTTTTAATGGAAGTTATTGTTGAGTCTAACATAATATTTGTGACCCATCTCCCTTGCACCTTTCTGCCTCCCCTTTAGTACTGTATTTAAGGCAGGACCAACAAGTACTTGATACAACATCTATTTTTACACCTTCTCTTCTTTAAACTTACTGAAGAAAGAAAATTTTTCTTCAAAACACTCACTTTTGTAGTGGTCCTTAATCGTTAGGTAGACTTTTTTTTTTTTTTTTTTTTTTTTGGTGCCGGAGATCGAACTCACCATCTTGTGTAGGCACTTACCGCACTGAGCTAAACTCCTGACCCGGTAGGTAAACTTTTAGAGTGCTTATTATCAGTATCATTTTTACATTATTTTTTATTGTATTGTGTATATACCTATCACTCTGTTTTACTATCACATACAAAATGAGAATATTTCAAAAGTTCCAAAAGCTGCTGAAATTTAATCGAATAAGAAAGAGATGCCAGGGAAAAGTTCATTTTGCCCAAGCTTTTAGGCAATATTTTGGACTGATGGGAAACTTATGCAGTAGAAAAATATAAAATAGCCGGGTGTGGTGATGCATGCCTCTAATCCCAGCACTCAAGAGGCTGAGGCAGCAGGATCCTTGCCAGTTCTAGACCAGCCTGGGCTACAAAGTGAATTCAGTGCCTGCCTGAACTGCATAGCGAGACCCTGTCTCATTGTGTTTTTTAGGTGAGGCAGGCTGACACTTCAGTTCAATTTAACTACCCTTCTCTTTGGCTTCCTTATTTTTTTATCATTTTCCTTGATGCATTTCAGGAAGCTTATCTCCATTCTTAGTGTTTAATATGCTCAAAACACATTAATTCTCTTGGCAACTATCTTCCCCTAATCACTGTAACTTGCTTGTTATAGTGTCAGCAACATACTGGGTAACATTGTACACTTCCAGTTTTGCCATGGTAACATTTGTGTGGCATACTTTTTGAATAGTACCCATCCCCTTGATGCCCACAATATCTCCCATTTTGTAGATTCACATGTATGTGGCCAGAGGAACAACCCCTTGTTTTCTAAAAGACCAAGAGAACACATACCAGGTTCCTGTCCTCTTTTACCTTTGTGTTTTTCATTTTAGCAAATCACTGAAATTGGCAATTCTGGCCAGAAGGGCAAAGCACTTGTCATACACAGTATATCTTGGTATTTGTCCTTCAGATACATTTTTGCTATTGGACATTTGGTCTCAGATTCAGTATAGCATGTTTTTTCCTTTTTCTTGAAATGTTTAATCTCTTTTCCTTTCCATAATCTTATCAGCACTTGTTGTCTTTGTGCTAATCAGATGTGATTAGAAACATCAATGTACAGTGAAGAATTGAGCACAGATGTAGCAAACATGGCACTAGCCAGTATTTACCAAGTTTCAATTATCCACGTGGCACGTCACCATGTTTGTCATATCTGAATCCAATTGTAATACAGTGTATTTAAATCTGTTCAACTTTTAAAAGCATCTTCCTAAACAAGAATTTGTAGGTTTGGATTTCTAGTTATAGGGGTTTTTTTGTAATATGGATTAAAGTAAATGCATAAGTAGTAAACTGCAATTTTTATTCAAATACCTAGTTTTCAGGTTCATAAATGCTTTATGTGGTGATTAAATGAAAACATTGTCAAGGAGGAGATGTAATTAATCGGGTGTTCAGTTATTTGTGTTCATATGGAATGGAATGTTGCAGGTTGATCTGAGAAAAATTCCTGTTTTTAACTGAACTCTAGGTTGTGAGACTGCTATTTCTTTCACATCCAGTGTGAGAATCATACCCTGAACCAAGGAGCCACCTAGAGACTGCCACTCCTCAAAACAAGCTTCAGAGCTCTATTTAGTTAATGGTACAGTATTTATTGATTTTTTTTAAACTTTCTCTTTTAGGGGGTTACTATCGTTAAACCAATAGTTTATGGTAATGTCGCTCGCTATTTTGGGAAGAAAAGAGAAGAGGATGGGCACACCCATCAGTGGACAGTTTATGTAAAACCATATAGAAATGAGGTAGGTACTTGTTTTTCCTGTAACTTTTTTCAGAGCTATAATTTGTTCTGCTTGAAGATAAACTTGTAAATTTCTTTTATAGTAACTTGCTAAAAAAAATTAGCCCTCCCTAACAAATTAGAAGAATAAATGAGAATTGTCATCTTTGTTTGATTCAAAAAAGTTAATTTTCCAGAAATGTTTCCCAATAAAATTAAGTAACAAGAATTATACTTCTATAAATACAGTACAAGTGTACCTTCCAAACATCACATCTTAAATTAACATAGTAACCAGGAGTGTTTCAGGAATAGCAACAAATTATAAAGTAGTAATGTGGTAATAGACCAGAAAATATATAAGCAGATCTGCTATAAACTCTGGTTACTGGTGATTTTGTTTTATGGTTGAATCACTGCCTTGAAAACAGCCTGTAGATTGATATTCAGCAGATATTTATTGAATGACTAAATTATTCAACTTGTGTATGAAAATACTGTTATTCATTATAGCCAAAAAATGGAACAATCAACATGTCTGTCAGTTGATGACTATATGAATAAAATGTTGGATAGTCATGCATTGAAATACTAGGCAATAAAAAAAATGAATTACTAATACATGCTAGCACATGTATGAAAATAGTATTATGCTAAGTGAAAGAAAACATAAAATGGTATTTAGTGTGTGGTGTCATTTACATAAAATGTCCAAATAGGCAAATCTATAGACATATATCCATAGTTAAATTTCCTCTTTCTTTTTTTAGAAAAGTTACCATGATCTTCCCCTATTCTATCTCTGTGGCCTTATTTGTCTGTACTTTAGCATTTTCTCATATCATGCACCCTACAAGTACTAGACTACTCTCAAATTGATGATTATCCTACGAACCCTTAAACCTCTTCACTCATTCCTTCCTACTCAGATATTCCTGTTTATCCTTTTAGGTCTTATTCAATTGTCATTTTCTTTTGAGTTACTTTCAGTCTCTAAAGACTGAATTAGGTGTCCATTCTGTGCAGTTTTGCCTGATGCCTTCATGGCACATTACACTGAGTGCAAATTTTACAGTCTTTTCCCTATTGCACAATAAATTCCAAGTGCCTGAGGGTAAGACTGTTTTATTTATCATTGTATAATAAGCATCTGGTGTGGCAGTATTAGTAGTTGCTCAAGTATTTGTAGAAGAAATGATTGAAGTATTTCCAAAAGAGACTTCAAAGATACTTATAAAAATCTACATCACAAAAATTCTTGCAGTGTAACAAATGATAAAGCAGGTTATCAGTATAAATAATCCCAATTTAATTATTTAACTGTATGTAGACATAAACACATAACAAGAACCCTGAAAACATAAAGGTAGTAAACGTTACTACTGAGTGGAACTGTACTATGTTGTATGTGCTCTTTCTTTCTAATGAATTATATATATATATATATATATATATTTTTTTTTTTTTTTTTTTTTTTAATCACTACCAGGGATCAAACTCACGACCGCCTGCTTGTAAGGCAGGTGCTTTTGCCGCTGAGCTAAATCCCCAGCACCATGAATTATATATTTTTAAAAGCCACTTTACTGGCAGAAGCCCTTTTATGTGCTATAGTTAATAATGTGCTCCTATGCTTCAAAATATTAAGAAAAGTAGTTTCATATTCAACAGTTTTATGTTGCTTTGAATTTCTTGTTCTTAGTTTAGTGTAATATAATTGTGTTCTCTGACTATAGATTTGCTTTGGTTTATATGATTATTTCAATAAAACTTCCAGAAATTTATTGTCTTTGGAAAACTCAAAACTGAGACTGTTATTAAGTTAAGGTATATAACAACAAGGTTTACAAAACAAGTGAATGGGGAAATATATATTCCTGCATATTGTGTATTTTGAAAGGATTTAACATAGGTTTCCTTTGTTTAAAAAAAAAGCAAAACCAGGTATTACTTCCCAATTCATGTTTTTTAAAAAAGTAAATTCCAGGGGCTGGGGATTTAGCTCAGTGGCATAAGCGCCTGCCTCACAAGCAGGCAGTCGTGAGTTCGATCCCCGGTACCGATAAAAACGAAAAAGACCAAAAAAATAAATAAATAAATTCCATAAAATTTGAAGGAAAATATATTTTATAAAATTAGATATATATGGTTGATAGTTTTCATATGTGGGTGATAGAACTAATTAATTTCTTTGTGTTTTAGGATATGTCAGCATATGTGAAAAAAATCCAATTTAAATTACATGAAAGTTACGGCAACCCTTTAAGAGGTATTGTACAATCTTGATTCATAATATACAAAGTTAAAAGAGCAAAGAAAATAAGTCAGTAATTTATAATTTTTCCCCCTTTCTCTTTAGTTGTTACTAAGCCTCCATATGAAATTACTGAAACAGGATGGGGTGAATTCGAAATAATCATCAAAATATTTTTCATTGACCCTAATGAAAGACCCGTGAGTAATATTTGCAAATAGAAAATAGAATTTTTATTAATTTGAAAATGTAATAATACTGAATGAATAACTATTTTTATTTAGATATAGGAACTAATGGCATGATGTATCTTGTCATAAGTTAAGGTTTTTCCATTTTTAAATGCTTTTCAAAACCTTTTTTCCCTTTTCAAGTGTAGAAGAAAAAGGATATAATATGAACATTTATTGGAAACCAAGGAAATCAGATAATTGTGGCAGAAAAATTTTTTAATTCATTTCATTCTTAGAAATAAAAAGGCTGCGTTGATATGCTGTCTGAAGGGAATATCCACTGTTTTGTACTCAAACCCTTAGCAACAGTATTTTTGTTTTTTCTAGCAGCTTTATCTTACTTATGATGATTCATTTATTCATCTCACTGATTTTTTCATCTCTTGACTTTCTCCATGTTTTCATTTTGATTCTTCAGCAACTTCCAGAGGTTAGTGATAGTCTTCATTTTAGAGATGAGGATTTTAAGACTCAGGGGTCAAGTCCTGTGATCAGAAACTCTCAGTTAGTTGTAAGCGAGCTAGTTTTTGAACCAAGTTATTTATACAAGCCTAACATTCTATAGCAATGATGATGAGCCTTTTAGCGCTTTCAGTGATAATAGTCTGGTGCTGCACGAGTCTCATAGGTTTGCCACCAATACTACAGTGTTTTCTTTTGATTACTAAAATCACTAAGACTTTAAAAAATGCACCTGTACGTGAGTCACAACTCAGCCATAACTCTTAAGTTTACATGATTGGGAGTGAGATTTAACATTCACTATTAATTTTCTTTTCTCTTTCTCTTTCTCTCTCTCTCTCTCTCTCTCTCTGTCTCTGTCTCTGTCTCTGTCTCTGTCTCTGTCTCTGTCTGTCTCTTTAAATTTTATGGTACTGAGGATTGAACTCAAGGAGTTTGCACTTCATACTGAGCTTTTAGTTTTTTATTCTGACGCGATGAAGATGCCTAGGCCGGGAACAAACTTGCAGTTCTCATGCCTCGGCTTGCTACATTCTGAGACTGCATTGCTAGGCTACCACACCTGACTCAGTCACCATCTTCATCTTGTTAGAATCAGCTCATTCCTTTGAATACTAAGTATTTACATTTTATCATATCGCATTATTAAAATTGAGTTTAAAGGAGTACAATATCAAGTGAGTGTGTGGTTCAGAGAACCAGTACCTAACTAGATGCATCAGAAATATCTGGGGTGCAAAATAAAAAATTTGAACTTCTGGACCTTTTCCCGTGGAGAGTCTGATTCAGCAGATTTTGGAGTGGGACCAGTAGCCCAGGTGGTTTGATACATAGTGAGGACAGGTACCCGTTGGCATGTGATTTATTCTTCCTATATAGAAATTCATTCAGGTAGTCTCTCAAATGAAAACCTAGTTTGGGTTTGCCTATCACCAGTATAGAAGACTGATTTTTTTTAAATTTTATTTTAAAGAGAGTAAAACTAAGAACAAAACAGATCAGAAGAAAACAATGTAAGTAACATTTCAAAGCAAGACAACAGAAAATCATCACTGGCTATCATATTGCTAGAAGACTGATTTCTGTTTTTAAAGAGAAGCATTCTTTTCAGTTTGGGGGTAGTTCAATTTGGTACTTTTATGCTTCCTTGAACTTTTTACTGATAACTTTATACATTAATTTTCTTTTCTCCTAAATAAACATTCATAGCTCAGTTACATATTTTTCATGTATGGGGTTTCCAAATCGACCAGTGTATTCTTCTAGAACACTCTCACATGTACTGTGTATCAAGAAATTATGAAATAAACCTATCATTTACAAGATACTGTTTAAAGGATTGTGAAAGATACAAAGGTGACCTGCCTGACCTCAGTGAAAATAGTTTATCGAGGAAACTAGTGCAGATTTCAGCATACATTAAGAAGGAAAGAAAAGGAGGCCATGGTGTTCTAAAACAAAAGCTCCTTTTAACTTTGTTAGATTGCTTTGTTTTGCTTTTTTGGCGGTGTTGGGGATTGAACCCAGGGCCTCCTGCATGCTAAGCAAGCACTCTGTCCACTTAACTGCATCCTCAGATCCTCTGTTTTAATTGTGCAGCTTTTTCTCTCATCATTTCTTTGTTAGTAATAAAGAAGTTGTACTCCTAATCTGTTGTCCTCGCCACACCCCCAACAACTGGAAAATGTCTCTGAAATTACTACATCTTGTAACTTCTTTATGAGACAGTTTTTCTTAGAAAGGTAAACTAATACGGCGTATGACACCTCCATAGTGTTCAATCTAGTTCATGTATTCCCACTCAGATGTACGTACGCCTAAATTTCATTCTCTAAAAAGTGTTGTAATGTTTCTTTAGTGTAGTGATACTATTGTACTTCAGTAGTTGGCTCATATAAAGGTTTATTTATAAAGGTTTATAAAGGTGTTATAAAGGTTTATTTAACATACAAAAGAAAGACATGAGTAACATCTATTTCTGTTCACTTTTATCCCATTTCTAAACTGTTCAGAAACAAAATCCTTGTCTCTAAAAGCTGAATATTAAGGTTCAGTTTTGTTCTTGGAAAGAAGAATTTGTAGGTAGTTATAGACAGTTTCATTGCTCTAGGAATTGTCATACAGCATTCACAATTAAAAATGTCTTTTTTTAAATTACCTATATCTGTTTGAATGCCTCTGGAAGTCTGAATAGAACATACAGGAAACAGTTTTATGATGTAATTTTTAAATATTTTCATTTGTAAAGTCAGATCCATGAGAGAGTTTTTTTTTTTTTTTTTTTTTTGGTTTCATGAGAGTACTATTTCAAGAGATTTCCTAAATATAGTTGAAGTCCTCACGTGTTAAGTTTCCTACTATCACAGCCTGGATGCCTTAAAACAGTAAGTTACTTTCACAGTTCTGGAACCTAGAAGTCTGAAATCAAGACTTCTGTGTTCCTTCCAAAGCCTCTGGGGAGGACCTTTGCCTGCCATTTTCAGCTTTTGGAAGCCTAAGGAGTACTTGGCTTTGGAAGCATAACTCTGACCTCTGCCTCACTGTCTCATGGTCTTAGTGCCCTCTCTGTCTCTGTGTCTCATCACATAAAGAGTTCCATACTGGTTTAGGGCCATCTGAATGACTTCACCTGAAGTTAATGGCATTTTCAAAGACTGTTTCCAAGTAAGGTTGTGTGCATAAGTACCAGGAGTTAGGACTTCAATGTATTTGGGGGCCACACTCTTCAGCTCGCCATCTTCTTTTCTCATCTTCCATCTCTTCCCCAGGAAAACCACTTTTAAAAAACACTTATTATTTGTAGTTCCTCTAGAAATTACCCCTGTGTGTTTCATATGTTTAATTTTGAATTTTTAAATTTTAGGTAATACTTGTCAACTCCAAATGGAGCTGTATGATCCTTTTTACCTTGTACTTGAAAATTTTTCTTCATTTTGCTGAAGGAATTTTTTCACAAAGGATGCTTGAGAAGTAAACTTTTACTAGAGTCATTGCCCATCCGAAAATCTCTTCATTTCTTTTCCATACTTGATTGCTGGGATGAATAATTGTAGCATCAAGGAGGGAGATGTGCTTTGTTGTCCATGAAAATTAAGAAGGGAGGTTCAACAGGCCCAGCTATCCAGAGTGTCTTGATTTCACTGCCAGCTCAATTTGGAACCTCTCTGGGGCTCTAAAGAGCTCTGGTTCCCACCTCATTCTTCGTTAAGATTTCAAGCTATAGTTTTTCTGTATTATGATTTATTATCCCACGGTAGCATCTCTTTCTATTCCAAAAATTTGCCAAATTATGGTTCGGTTTGTCTTTTTGAGACAGTTTCACTATGCCATTCAGACTGGCCTTGAACTCACTTATTGTAGCCCAGACTGGTCTTGAACTCACAGCTGCCCTCCTGCCTCAGCCTCATGATTGTTAGGATTACAGGCTTACATCACCACACCCAGCAAATTATGTGTTTTAATATGGGCTGTACTTAATGCTGTCTCATTTTCAGATTGTACTTTTTTTTTTTAATGGAGGTCTTTGCATTTCTCTTCTCTTTTTTATGTTCTTTTTATCCCTCAGTGTTGGAGATTAAACTCAGGGCTTTGTGTATGCTAGGCAAACACTCTACCACTAAGGTGTACCTGCAGCCCCTTCTGAACTCCTAATATGCTATCCTGAACCTAGATGATGTTCTTTAAGCAGGGTACTGCCACTGGCCACTCATATCTAGAGAAGTTTGACATTTGTGTAAGTAGATTTATCTTTAAGGGGAGTTAACGATGCTTGTTTAGATTCACTTGCAAGAATTCATGTATTTTCCCACCTCTTCAGAGTGGGAAATAATTATTTTGAAGTAGTTGTCCTTGTAATGATACTAACTACCCTTTTGGAAAAAATTTTTGAGACCTTTGGTTTGTACAACTTCAACATGAACTCTTTTGTTTGCCAACTGTGTTTTATTTGTTATAGTAATCACATTGTGCTGCAAAGTGTTTTCTTTGATGTCTTACAACACCTGTTTTTAAGTATTTGTAGACATGGTGCTCTTGTCAAGTGAACTATTACTAACCAGCTTTGTGTTTACTTATTATGTCATTTGTATAATAATCCTGTTTACCCTGTGAGCCCTTCTCAGACCTTGTCCCGGTCCAGAAAGTTAATATTTGTAATCCCACAGAGAAGTTACTGGAATTGTAGAGAGTTAATATCAATCCACCACTTCCAGTGCAACTCACAGGGAAAATGTAGACACTGAGGCGTATCAGTGGCTGTGGAGAACCAAAGGATCCTAAATCCAGCTGGGGTGAGGGTTAACCAGAACAAAGACCTCGACCCAGGGCTAAACCCAGAAGGGAGTGACTCTAGGATAAGGACTGAGAGTAGTGAGAAACGTGTGAGTGCTGGGAACTGGGCTAGATAAAAGGCCTGAAATCACCTCTACAGTATACAGAGAGAATGGTGTGCAGAAAAAGTAATCTGCATAAGACAATGTGAGATAGTGTCTGGTGTTCTGGGGTCCGTGCTTCAGCTCTGATGTGTAGTCTTTTATCCCCTGGGAAGTCATTCAGCCTCAGTCCTCAGTCCCAGCCAGCAGTGTGGAGCCTCACTCTCTTTCCCACCTGGCTCGCACATTTGTGGGGGCACTGTGGGGGGCAGGGAAACATAGACCTCTCACCTTGCTTCAAAGACATGCATCAGTCTACCACGCTGATTTACATTGCTTAAAGCCATTTGAAGGGATAAGGGAAAAATCCTAGCAAGCTCTGTGCATATTAATACATGGAAATAGGGCCAGGGTTAGCCAAAATGGAGGTAATTGCTCTTCTTTCAAGGAGCTTCATCCAGGTGTTCCCTCCACAACCACCAAGGAGAGTGTCTTGGTCTTGCTAAATATGTTAGTATTGGTTACTCCTTTTTAAAGTATCAAATATTTTCTTCCCACAGTGAATTGGTAAGCTCTAATCTTCACAGATGATTAACAGTTAATCCATTTTCACTTATTTAAATAAAATAATTCATATTTTGATTTTCAAGTTTAGTTTTCATAGCTGTATCTTGTATTATTTTTGAATATATTTGCTCTGTAGAGATGCTTGTGTGCCGCAGTAGCTGGCTGAACCCAGGAATTTGTACCTGCCAAGAGCTATATTTCCAGCCTGTTTAGAGATGCTTAAATAGGTCCTTTCTTAACCTTCTTGAAAAATTCATGTTAAGTAGATGCATATTGATGGTGCTACCTAAGAATAAAATAGAAAAAATAGAAGTGCAGAATTTGGTGATTTGCCACAATAAATTTCAGTTGAAAGAAGATCTGAATTTGATACGTTTACTAATTCCAGTCTCTAATTCAGTTTTAAAAATGAGTTTTTCATGATGATGATGAAAACCACTGTACAGATGTGACATCTGTTTTTATTTTACAGGTAACCCTGTATCATTTGTTGAAGCTTTTTCAGTCAGACACCAATGCAATGTTGGGGAAAAAGACAGTTGTTTCTGAGTTCTATGATGAAATGGTAAGATTTTTGTAGAGAGTTTAAAAGCAGTTTTAAGTTGGAGGACTTTGGAGTTATTAAGCTTTTTTCCATTCTATTCCTGAAGATATTTCAAGATCCAACGGCAATGATGCAACAATTATTAACAACATCTCGGCAGCTAACATTAGGGGCCTATAAGCACGAAACAGAATGTAAGTGCCATGTATTCATTCCTATTTAATCCTGAAAACTAATGTATTGTGTAATGATGAAAGGATTATTTGATTAGTGGTGTTAATACATATTTTTAATGATCTAGGCGAATTTCCTTGGACGTAAAAAGCACAGTACAGTGGCACATGCCTTCAGTCTTAGCTACTTGGGAAGCCGAGGCAATAAAATCACAAGTTGGGGCTGGTGCTAGGCCTTAGTGGTAGAGATCTTGCCTTGCATGCACAAGGTCCTGAGTTCAGTCCCCAGCACCACAAAAAAAAGAAGAAAATCACAAGTTCAAGTCCAGCTTAGTCACCTTTGCGAAACTCTGGCTCAAAATAAAATTTCATAAAGAGGGCCAGGGGTTTCGCTCAGCTGCACAAACCCTCCTGGTAAGTACAAGGTTGTGAGTTCAATCCCTGGTACCCCTCCACAAAAAGAAAGAAAATTTCATAAAGGGTTTGGGATGTAGCTCAGTGATAGAGCTTATGCCTAGACTGCATGGGCCTACAGGTTTGACCCCTAGTATTGCCCCCCAAAAAAACAAAAAGGACAAAGTATATGTTATGTAGAACATGTGAGAAGCATATTTTAAATTGTTCCCATCGGTAAAATCCTCTCACACTCTGAAATAGTTTCTATTTTATTTCCTAATTACATTTAATAGGTGTAGCTTTATTAGTTTTACTTTACCTATCTGTGCTAATAAAACCTGTGAAGAACTTGGCATAACATAGCAATTCTTTTATATACTGATAACTATGTTATCTCATATTTTCTAGCTGTGTCATTTTATATATAGATTCAGATAATCTGGAGTATAAAGTACCTGAACTCTATATTGATAATTATATTTCCATTGTAAGCTCATGTGGATTCACAATCCTCTATACCTCACTCCATTCATCTACTGGCATTCATTTATAGTTGGCATTCAAAATAAAATCTATTTCAGGGTTGGAGATTTAGCTCAGCGACACAAGTGCCTGCCTGGCAAACACAAAGTTGAGAGTCTAATCCCCAGTACCAAAGGGAAAAAAAAAAACCTATTTCATATCCGTGTTAACACAGATGTCACTGATCATCAATCCTTCCCTTGAATTTACCAGATACATAAAATAAAGCCGGGCGTGGTAGTGCATATCTGTAAACCCAGCTCTTTGGGAGGCTGAGGCAGGAGGATCATTGCAAGTTTGAGATCAGCTTGGGCTACAAAGTGAGTTCAAGGCCAGCCTGAACTGTATAGTGAAGCCCTGTCTCAGATTTAAGAAAAAAACAAAGTAAAATACATTGCACATTGAGTAGCGACTATCAGCTAGGTATTGTTCTAGGTGCTGAGGAAGAGATACAAAAATCTCTCCCCTCATGAAACATACATTCTAGCAGGAAAATCACAGTCTTAAATAAAGAGTTCAGTAGCATATCCGGTAGTGATTGGGTGCTGTACAGAGAAATACAGTGCAGGTAGCACTTCTGGTGGAAGATAATGATCAGAATTTCAAATAGGTCAGTAAGTGTTTCCTGGGATTATAGCGTTTGGGGACCTAGAGGAGTAAAATAGTAATCTGAGAGATGAGTATCTCCTGTTACGGGAGATGCAGGGGCAAAATCCCCGAGATGAGAGTGTGCCTGAGTGCTGGGCCTGGCAGCACAGTCCTGTAACCCTCGTACTCAGTAGGCTGAGGCAAAAGGATCACTGCAAGTTTGAGGCCAGCCTCAACTACACAGCATGACTTTGTCTCAAAACAAACAAAAAAAAAAGATAGTGATCCTGCCTGGCATGCCTGAGAATCAGCCAGGAGAGCTACATGGCTGAACAGACTGGAAAAGGAATGGGAGGTGAGACCAGAGAAGTTAATGGGGTACCAGGTCATCAGGGACTTTGGGGAGCTGTGAGCACTTCGGATTTAACGAAGTAGGGGGAGAGGGGAAAGGGAAAGGGGATGGACAAAGGAATTAAGAGGTGTGATATGTGTGGACCAACTCCCTGCAAGGAATGCAAGCATTATGTCCTATACACAGGTACTAATAAACTAAAAAAAAAACACATTGGATAATATGGAAGGAAAAAAAAAAACAGGAGTGGATGTGAAGTCTTTTATGGGTGCTGAACAGGGGAGTAATATCCAACTAACATTTGTAAGTGATCATTCTGGCCATTGTGTGGAAAAGAAACTAAAGCAGAAATAGTAGAAGCAGAATATAGGTAGGTAGTTAGGAGGCTGTTTCAAGAATTCCAGTATGATACTGCTTAGGCCAGAGTCGTGGAAGCAGTGAGAAGGAAGGCAGGTTGTGGACCTATTTTGAAGATAGGTAAAATAGATGTGAATAATAAACTAACAAAAAAAAAAAATGAACAAAAGACAACTTAAGGTTTTAGGCCTAAGAAATCCCTTCTATCCCCCACCGCCCAGAAAAAGCCATTGCTTTTTTTTTTTTTTCTTTTTCTTTTTCCTTTTTATCGGTACCAGGGATTGAACTCATGACTGCCTGCTTGCAAGGCAGGCACTTATGCCGCTGAGCTAAATCCCCAGCCCCAAGCCATTGGTTTTTGTAGAGATGGAAACTCTGGGTTGAGCAGGTTGAGGTGAAAGATGAAGACTGCAATTTTGGACATACCAGACGTGGAATGGCTGTAAGACACATAATTGGAGGTGTTCAGAGGTGTTGGTACCAGAAATTCTGGTATTAAAGGAGAGGTCTAGGCAGATGACATAAGTTTGGAAGTTAATGGTATATGGATGGAGTTATAAATTGTGAAATCAGATGGTATCACAGGCACAGTGAAAAAAGGAAGTCCAAGGACTGTTGAGAGCCCTAATCACTCTTAACATTCAGAGATGAAGGAGGTAATCAGCTGACAGAATTAGGGGCGAATGGCAGGTATGAAGAAAGAAAAGGCAGGTGTGTGTCATGTCCTAGAGCCCAGTGAAGGAAGTGGATCATGGACCAGAGTCATCAGGTGTGTCTAGTACTCTACATCTCATTAAGGTGAGGGTGAGACAGAGGAGATGCCACAGTGAAGGTCCTTGATGACCTTAAAAGAGCCGAGAAAGCAAACTGGAAGGACAGTTGATACGGGTAGGAAACAATGCGATGAAATTGGGGACAGGCGCTAAAGATAAGCCTGTCATGAGCTTGGCTGTAAAGGGCAGCAGTAGCCCTTCCAGCAGCCCAGAACCTGGATAGGGGATTAGAGAGTTGGTTTTTGGTTTTGGGGGTTTTTGTTTTTCCTGAGAGGGAATAAACTAGTTTACCCTTAGGCAGAAAAGAGAACCTCAAACAGAAGGCACGGAAGGATGGTAATGCAGGGAACATGGGGTTTTATGCTTAGCCACTAGTCATTGTTGCAGGATTTATATTTTCATGATATATAATTTTGTCAACAGTCATTGAAAGTTTATATACTTAAATTTCTGTCTTTAAAAATACTTGCCTGGCCTACTTTGTCATGAACATAAAATAAATACGTGTATGATCATTTTGAAAAGATAAAAAGCATTTATTTACTATCTGAATTTTGTTAGTGGCCACTTTCTCTACTTAGTAGATCTATATCCAGTTTATAAAACAAATTTCTAAAATTTAAGTCAGCTTGTTTCCCAGCATTTTTATATTATCAGCAAAACTAGTATGTTGGACTCACATATAGTAAGTAGATACAAATATCTTTTATGAAAAGGTTATTTGATGTATTAAAGCTTATGTATAGACCTCTATAAATTTCAGAAGTTTTAAAAAATAAATCACATGTTTTATATTATCCTCAGTTCATTTTTTAGCAGTATCAAATAAGATAGAGAGGTAATTCCATAAATGGTGTTGATACAATCGGTAAGCTTCTGGGAGGACAGTTTGCTTAGTAGTACTTATCAAAACAAATTCTTAAGATAATTAAGCATTTTTTATGTTTTGGGTTTGTTATTGATGGTGGTGTTTTTGCCATGCTGGGGATCAAACACAAGGCTTACTACATGTTAGGCAAGTGCTGTACCACTGGATTACATCATCAGTCTCTCAGTCCACCTGTTTCTTAAAAAATAGAGAAATTATGGTCTACCTGGGCTTAGGGAAAACTTCTTTGAGGGGGTGGGGATTGAACATAGGAGCTTTGCACTAAGATATCTCCCCAGACCTGTATTTTTTTTATGTTTGGGGGAATTTTGTTTGTTTTCTGTCTTGCTAAATTGCCCAAAAGAGGCCAGGTATGGTGGCACACACCTTTAATTCTAGCACTAGGGAGACTAATGCAGTAGGATCTCTACAAGTTCAAAGCCTGGGCTACAGACTGAGTTCAAGGCCAACCTGAACTTCATAGTGAAACCCTGTCTCAAAAAGAGTAAGCAACATAAGCATTTGCCTAGGAAGCACTAGGTCTTGAATTTGGTTCCTGGTACAAGAGAGAGACAGAGACAGACAGAGAGAGACAGAGACACAGACAGAGAGACAGAGAGAGACTAAAAATAAAATTACCCTAAGTTGCTGAAGCAGGTCTTGAATTTGCAAAATTATTGCCTCAGCTTTGCAGAATCCTGGTATTAGAGGCATGCATCACTATACCTAGTTTAGGGTGGACTCTAAACTTAAGGAGATTTAAAAAAACATTAGAAGCAGGGCAAAGAGAAATAAGTTTTCAGAAAATAATGGCAGAGGGTTAATATCTTTATTTTAAAAAAAGAACCCCTGCCTAGAATGCACAAGTCCCTGGGTTTGATCCCTAGCACCACAGAAACAAAAACAAAACCCTAAAATTGATAAATATAAAAAAAAACCTGAACTTCAGTAGATAAGAAGGTAAAAGACATAAATAGATGGGTAGAAGAAGAAATAAGTAGGAAGTATTTTTTTTCTTGCTATTAATTTGAAAAGTACAAACCAAACAATAATATGTAACTATATTTCTCCTCTCAGATTAGCAAAAGGAGTTTTAGGGGTGCGGTGGGGTGGGTTGGGTGGTTTGATTTGGTTTGGTTTGGTTTGGTTTGGTTTGGTATAATTT